GTTAAACTTCAGAAAATTGAAATAGCTTTTTTTTGTCTTGATAATTTTCTCGGTACAGATGTTCACTTGGGACGTGGCAATGCACACAGAGAATACAAATAATGTACCCCTAAAATACCATTGTATAAAACAGTTTGTTAATATTATTTTATTCTTTAGCTTGCTTCAAAATCTCACCGATTGCTAGTAGTTTTTCATCATGTGAGCTCTCTTACTGTTTTATCTGCACCTACTTTAGCCCATGAAAAATACTGATGCTAGTTTCATTATTAGTATTATTATGAATATTCAAAACTACAAGAAAATATTTCATAAGACAAAAGTCACAAAACGAACTAAGACAATCCACTGGTAAATTTGGTGTTTACAAAAATGATGCTTCCCTTGCTTTTGGTTTTGACTGTCATTCATCTGTCATCTCTTACCATTGGTTTAAATTAAGTCAAGCTCTGTATGAATAATAATAATAAGAAGAAAATTTGTGGGACTCTTTTCTGGTAAGATCAGTTACCTCATGATTTAGCCACAGAGAGATCAGCAACTTTAGGTAGGAGACGTATCATGCTCGTTACAGTATTAGAAAAAAATAAGATACCAGGAGGATTGTTCATTCATTTTATTATACTGTTAATTAACTATCCATCAGAGTCCCAAGTCAAGAAAAACTTAAATAGATTTTAAAGCCAGAAGGAATAACCTCAATCATCTAAAATTCCTTTCCTCACAACATTTTGGGTATTGTCTGGTAATACGTGAATCAAGATAAATCTCGTGGGTGAGCTAAGGCACATACTTCAAGAACGCATTCAACCTTGAATTTAAGACTTTAAATGATGGCAAATCCATTACAACCCTCAATCAATTGTTTCAGTCACTAATTATCCTCATTGTTAAAAACATGCACTTTACCGATGGCCTGATTCCTTATAGATTCAGTCTCTAGCCACTGGAGTTTCCATTGTTGCCCTTCCTGAAGGATTCGAGAGTCATCTCTTTTTAGTAAACTTTTACCTCTGTAGGACGTTCCCAACTGTTTCAGAGTCAGCTTCTAATGCACCAGTGTCCTCTGCTCTGCTAGGAAACCTGAGCTTTCAAAGTCTGTCCCTGAAAGGGGACCAGGTTTCCCAGGCAAATTATTCCTGTAACTCTTTTCTGCCTTTTTCCAATAGTTTTTGTTTGTTTTTTAATTTAAACATGAGTGGCAGAAGCAGACCTAGTCTGAAAGGATTTTTCACTTGTGCTGAATAGATTCTGATACCAGTTCTCTCCTCTTCCTTCCTCAATATTTTCATGTTTCTATATATACACATGTGCCTTTGTCTACCCCTGTGCAGAAAAGCATTTCAGCTGCAGTAAGTGAAACTGATGGAGCTTAAACATACGTTCAACAGTGCTGCTAAATATAGCTCGGCTTGAGCATATATCTAAACTTAAGAACATGCCCAGCTACTTTGCTAAATTGGGTTCAGAGGTCTAATGCACACTGGCTTCCAGCTACCTTTCACTACCTCTTCTTTCCTGCTTTAGAGCCTAACTTTAATGGGAGATTTTTGGTGGGATGGTTTTATAGCCTAAACCTCAGCCATGTATCTGTTTCTATATATTTGAACTTCCTCTGAGCATTATTTTTTTAATCTCTTCACATTGGGTGTCTCTCAGATGCTGGAATGGGTAAATTATTGAGTGTTATCTATTTTTAAATAAATATATTTCTACAGAACCATGGGTATGTGTTTTGAAATTGGAGTAGGCTATGTTGCAATGAAGGGTAGGAGAGCTAATACAGTTTCCAAAATCTGGAACTGCAAAGATTTTTTCCCTCAGAACCTTTGCAATAATAGTTAAATTCCATTACTTCCAACCTGCCAGCTGTGTGCAGTTTTAACAGATGAATAAAAAAACCAAAAATGAGACAATGCTCTGAAGGAAAAGCGAAAAAGCCTTACAAAGATGACTGCAGGATGAAACAATCCTACCCCAAGTTGCTAAGCAAGTGACAGCTGTGGCTTTAATGGACTGTTCTTAAAATGAGACTTACACGCAAACTACCTATAAATCTATAACCTATAAATGTTAATGATTTTTATCCCAGGCTCAGAAAATGCTGATGGCGATGGGTGCAATATTATAACACACCATGAAAGTCCCCAGTACACAGTTGTTGCTCTAGCCTGGTGTTGCTACGAATGATTTGCGGGAAGCGCTGCAGCCAAGTGGCTGGGGCCATTTCCCACCCCTGCCTCGTGGCTTACCAGCTCACTGGAGTCTCTTACGTTAGCTTGGTGGTTTTAGTCTCACATGCTGCCACGTTACAAACCGGCATTTTTTTCTACTACTGTTGAAAATATTCCTGAGCTTCTTGTACATTCCTGTGACTTGAAAGTAAGTTTTGAGAGCGTGCAAAATGTTGGCTCAACAGTCAAGGCTGTATCTTCAGTGCACCTACACGAACAGCTGCATCCCTGGCTGATAACACTTCCCTCAGCTCAGCGAGAGGTCTCTTTCTGTAATTATCTATGGGAAACAACTTCGGTTTACACCTGCTCAAACTCGAGACCATTTGCTACAGGAGGGATGATACTATTTCCTTAACGACACAGGAGTCAGACACATCCAAATGCAATACTTGGCCATTAGATTAGGCAACTCCTCTCTCCTTTGGGCCAGTCGAGTGCAGACAATAACGCAGAAAGGGCATAGTAAAGTGTCACTCTTTGGATCTCTGACAAACGAGCTCAAACAATTTTTGTGTCAATGGGTTAAGATGCCTCTCCCAGCTGCGTGTGCCTCCTCGTAGCCTACACCACCACACAGACAGCAGAGTTGGCAAAATATAACGTATGCCTGCACTGCCACTGCCGCAACTCACAGTCCAACATCTTAGCTTAAAATGCTAGTGGTGATTTATACCAAGGCACCAGTCTGCGTTCTGGTGCTGCTGAGATGTGGGCATGGCTATGCTCTTATTAGGCTACTATCATCGTTATTATTTTTATTATGCATACCTACACATATGTTTATTTAAATAATGCATACTGAGTGTATACTAAATTTAGGCGTATATATATATCATAGCACACATAAAATTTGTGTCAGTGCATTAGCATGTCTACGCACACCTCTGCGTTGTTGAAGTAATGCATATATGCTAAAGAAGTAAATCAGGTCATTGCTATTTTTACAGTAAATGTTCACATTTCTGGACCAACAGATTCAACAAGCACGTGCATAAGTTCTGGCAGAATTTGATCTTTCATTTATACAAATTCTAGGATGCGTTACTTAGGAAAGCAGAGTTTGTGCAACAGCACATTGCCTCAGCATCATTGCTTTAGTCATGCTGTTTAGAATTCAGTGGTGACAAAAGCTAAATTCTCCTTCCAATATTAAATATAAATCTGTTTAAATGTGGAAAAGTAGTGCCAATTTCTTAAGCGTGAGCTAGAGTGATGTTCTAGTTTTTCTTGTTACAATTTTCAAAAATTGCCTAAAAGGTGCATTTTTTTTTTGTTGACTCTGTATTTAGTAACTCTAACACTTACTCTTTATGTCACTTCAGATACATCAGGATACAGTAAGTCTTGTCTTCCGGTCTCTGACTGGAGAAGGAGCTGAAGGGTTCCTGAAGAGGGGCTTTCTCAGCCTTTATAGTGCCAAAAGAAGTTGCTGAACCAAGAATAGACTTGATTTCTACCAGTGATTTTAAAAATAGGTTATGGAAAGAACAAAATTTGTAATATTTTGAATAAAAATCACTAAGCCTTCATCTTTAAAACACAGGTATGCTACTAGTGCACGGCGAGTTCCACAGCACAGCACTCACGCTGGTACCGCTGGGTATGTAAACCCGTTTTCTAGCTGTGTTGGAGCCCTACGGAGAAGAATCACCCCACAGATGAGCCGGACGGAGAGAGAACCGGATCGCCTTTGCCCCGTTTCTTGGCTATAGCACACCGGGGGTCTGCAGTCCTCCACGGGCCCTCTCGGAGCAAACCGCGATTTCGGCCGGCTCCGCTCCCTCTCCGCGAAGGGAAAGCCGCCCGTCTCGCTCCCCCCACCGCAACTTTCCGACTTACTAATTTCCCGGCGAGAAGCCGAGAGGGGTCTCACCTTGCCGAGCCCGCTGAAATCCCGC